CATGCCATTTCCCAGAAACTGTTGTCAATGAACCATTTACACCCTCTGCCCATAGAGCCTGACTCCTCAGGCTATAAACTAGGTGTTAAGAGGCCTGTGAGATAGGAGGATGCTCTTGTCCTCACACCCTTTGTGGAACTCCCTGCCCTGAGGGAAGTACTGGGCATTCCTTCCTGAACTGGAGAATATATAATCTTGGAGTTTTGGAACATTTTCAACCACTCCTGGGATCCAGAGGAAGACTGCAGATCACCACTCTCAACCAAACTGAGACCACCACTCTCAACCAGATTGCAACCACCACCCTCGACCGAACTGCAATCACCACTTTTGACCAGACTGCACCAGCACTCTCACCAACAGGTTTTCCCCTCACCTTTTCCTTTGGACTCAGGGGGCCCAAAGAACACCACTCTGTTCATGCCCCAGGGTGCTGGGTCATACATTTGGGTTTTGTGGGTTAAACCCAATTGTTTGTCTGTATAATCGTACTTATTGTATTATTTTATTAAATTGTTATTCTGACTTGTAATCTCTCTTTTGAGTTGAGTTCATTTCCCCTGCTGGTTTACCTTTAAACCAGCACACTCAGAGAGGGATTATTTGCAGTTCTGGGTATTGACAGCCTGGGCAACACTGAGAAGCTTCTCTCACCTCAGGTACCTACAGTGGACACCACCAGAGGAAGCCCAGACCTGAGGAGACTCTTCACCAAGTCAAGTTCTTCTCCACATCACTCAGAGAAACCATAATGCCACTAAACAGGCTCAAACCATCCTCATTTGAAGTTGGCAATGCTTCTGTCTCTTCCTCCCAGATAAATCTGCTCAGGTTTCCAGAGATATTTCAATCTGGAGGAAGGTCAGATCGCAGATGGACACTTGGCAGCCCATCCCTGATCCAGAGAGCTCCACCCTATCCCAAGGAGCCAGGAACAAGCCCAGGAGGGGCTGGGGATGCTGTGATCAACATCTGTGCTCTTCCAGACTGGGATCCTCCCAGCTCAGCTCCCCCTCTCTGCCCCTCTGCTGACCCAGGTGTGTGGCACTGCCTGACCAGACCCTTCCCCAGGAGCCAGCTGGATATTTGGGATGCCTGTTTGCCAAGTGCCTGACTTCTTTTAATTAATTAATTAAGCCCAGGATGCCCTGACACCATTTACACCCTCCAGAAGGAGCTGTTGCAGAACTGACCAGAGCCAGTCTCTGCCACAACACCTCTCCCTCTTCTCATGCTCCTGTCTCCAAGTGGGAAGGCAGATATGGAGAGGGAGCTGTACAAACCTTGTAAAGGGTTTCATCCCAGATGGAGGTTCTAAAACAAACACATTCCAAGGGCCGGGAGAGGCGTTTCAAGTCCTCTTCACGCTCCTTAAAAATCTGGGAGATGAAAAGACAGAGCAGCAGTTGAGTGAAAGCAGTTCTGCCTGTGCTGTGGTTGCTGTATGGAATTACAGGATGAGTTTCAAATGGATCTCTAGAGAAGGGACAAGAGCAGAGCAGTTGTCCAGGACAGGCTGGGAGAAACCAGCTCCCAGTACTCCCAGTGAGCAGCAGGGCCACACAGACCATGGATGTCCTGCTAGATTATCCCAGACTGGTTTGGGTTGGAAGGGATCTTAAAGATCATCTCGTTCCACCCCCTGCCATGGGCAGGGACACCTCCCACCAGCCCAGGTTGCTCCAAGTCCTGCCCAACCTGGCCTTGGGCACTTCCAGGGATGGGGAATCCAAAACTTCCCTGGGACCCAAAGCTGAAATAACTGCAGGTGTTGGGAAGTGGGAGTGAAGGCAGACAGGCTGGAGTGTCCCTGAGGACCTAAACTGTGACATCCCTGGCAAAAAGCTCCATCACTGAGAGCAGGATGGGAGGGAAGCAGCTGAGGGCCCTCAGAATGAGCTCACACAGACTTCTATGCCCACACCACACTGCCCTCAGAAGTTATGGGCACCAAAAAAGGGCAGCAGAGGAACAGCAAAGCCCAGCCAGGCTCCTCTGGAACTGCTAGAACAGCATCAGGACAGCCAGCAAGGGGAACACACAACCACCACCCTCACTTGAGTCTTGTGGGAACATGACAGAGCATGAACCAAGCCCCATGAAATGCTGGGCCAACACCATGTGGGTCCTGGACAGCACAGGCTTCACTAAGACCTACAAAAACAGTGATTTAGCCCAGTATTTGCATGGGCTACTGAGCAGCAGATACCCTAAAACAGTTCTTGATGGGTGGTAAGGCCCCTCTTCTGCCCACCCCTCCCTTCAGGGCCAATCCTGAGTCTGTACCACTGGTTAAAACAGTACTTGTGCACTAGTCCCTCCACAAATCTGGACAGGACTGCAGCAAAGAAGATTTTAGACTCATCCTTCCACCTGGAGGGAAATGAGGAAAAGCACCTTGAGCCCTCTGAAAGAGCTCTGAGCTGTTTCTGCCCTGAGCTGGAGGGCAGAACTAGAACTGGAAGAGGAAGATCTCTGCTCTCAGATAGGACAAGGGATCCAAAGCCCACCTGCCACGTGGAAAGGTGTGTCTGTGCAGGGAGGTCAGCTCTGGTTTCAGCCACAGGACCTGCACGTTCCCTCTGCAGATACCCAGGCAAAACTCAGTGGGAACTGGTAAAAAGTTTAATAAAACCTCTTATTTCTGACAAAACCCAGCACCCTGAAGTGGTCTCCAAACTCCCTGCAATGCAGGGAGTGGCTAAGCAGCTGGGGATGTGCTCAGACCCACACAGCTCAACTCCCTTGGGCTATCAGAAGCTGTCCAAGCACAAAAATGAAGGTTTGTAGGAATTCAACGTCTTCCCACCTCCCTGTGACCTTTCAAAAGCTCCAAACAGAACAGAAGTCACCCAACACCTCTGAAAGGTTGATCCTCAGCCTTTGTTTAGGTGCTTGGTTGCTTCAGAGGATCTCTGGGCAGGCAGAGCAGGATTGACCAACCGAAACCACCTCCTGGTTAAGTGGGAAAGTTCCACCTCTTATTTTTTTGGTGATGCTTTAGAACAGAGCCTGTGCTGGACTGAAAGCAGCAGCTGAGCTGAAAACAACTCTCACTGTCACCACCACCATCCAAATGGCAGGCAGGGAGTTTAAGGAGCTGGATTTCCTTCAGTTCCACCTCCCTTCTGGAGCCAAGGTGTGCTGGAAGCTCTGGAATCAGCACTATAAAGGGAAAGGCTTTGAGTGATTGTCACTAAAAATCACTGCTTCTGTTCTCCAGGACATTACAAGATAACACACTTCAAAAAAGGCAGAGAAAGCTTAGAGGGCTCTGCCAAGCCTGAACATCTGAGAAACCCTTCGAGGAACAGCCCTGGCAGGGCTGTGTTTGATGTGTGACACCGCCCTGCACCCGCATAGGCAGGAGATGCTCCGTGGGGAAGCATTTCCATGGCAACTCCCGGCTTCTCACCAAATCCCGCTGGTCCTCCTGCACCAAGTCCATCTTGTGCACCAGGCAGAAGATCTTGGCATCAGGGGAGTTCTGCAGAATGGCCTCCAGGCAGGACTGGTAGTAGTGCATGTCCTTCTCCAGCTCCCGGCTCTCCACGTCGAACACGTAGATGAGAACCTCCACGTTGCGGAAGATGTTGTCCCTCTGGCTGGTGAAGTAGTTCTCCATGAAGGTGTCCTGCCTGAGGAGCAGAGCAGGAAAGCAAGGAGACTCCTGTTAGAGCAACCAGGACTTGCTTGGAAAGGTGAAGAAGGTGCTAAGTGTAAAATATCAGGGCTTTACTTTGGAGCTGCAGATCCCACCGCAGGAGCCCGTGTTAGAGCTCTATTCCCCACGACAAGGCTCCCTGAGCATTCCCAAGCAAAGCTGGAAGCTCCTGAAGAGCATCAGCCCACCAGTTCCACCTTAAGCTGAAGCATCCCTTGTGCTCTGTGTCCTGCTTCTGGATCCACACTGGCTTCTAAAGAGCTGCTTATAAAACACCCACAGCAGCAGAAGCAGCTGAAATATGACCAAAGTATCAGTTTAGCCTGTTATCCCAGGATTTCAGTCTCCCCTGGCTTTGGCTGAATGTGTTTAGATGATGCATGAGGCATGGGGCTGAGGAAGCTGAGCAAAGCTCAGCTGAGGCTCTGTCAGAGGGACAGCATTCCTCAAAAAGCTGCTTCCAGGAGCCACAGGATCACTGGCAACCTTCAGCATCATCTCTCTGCACACATCTCACTTGGAACAAGCTGGTGGTGGGCAATTCCAAGAGCAGTAGCACCTCCCAGCACCTCAGGAGAAAGCCCAGATGGAGGATTCTCTTGGCACACAAGCACCACACTCCCCCCCTGGAGCAGAATCTGCTCTGTTCCATCCTCACCTGATTCCCCACATCCACCCCCAAAGGAACTCAAAAAGGAAAGGAATAAACAGTACCTACCCTCCACAGTCCCACAGGTTTAACACCAGGTTTCCCAGGAATCTGACATGGGAATGCTCCACATCAACTGCAGAGAGACAACAGGAGTTTACTGACTGTACCACACACCTGGATCAGAGCTGCCTCCTCCAAAAATCAGCAGAGAATCATGGGATGGTTTGGGTTGGAAGGGACATTAAAGCCCATCTCATCCCACCCCCTGCCATGGGCAGGGACACCAGGTTGCTCCAAGCTCAGTCCAGCCTGGCCTTGGACATTTCTGAGGATGGGCCATTTCTCCCAACACAGCCCCCAGTTGGTAAAATCCCACCTAAACACCACTGCTGGACATTTCCCACAGGAATTCCAGCCTCCCTGCCCAGGACACTGCTCTCCTGAGAAGTGCAGCAGGTGCCCCCCCTTCAACCACACGCTCCCCGATCTCTGGGATATTTTAGGAATGATTTTAGTTGCATCAAACCCTGCAAGGCCTGAATCCAGCCTTGACAAAATAAACCAATAACACAGAGAATGGAAACTTCAGGAACAGGCCAAATTTACACCAATCCCTGACATTAAGCCCTCACATTAAATCCTTCCCCATGAGGAGTGTTAGATACGGACAATTCACCCTCCTCTTTCAGAGGAATCACTTCTTGTTTTTTCCCATCAATGGCTGCTTTGGAAGGGGAAAAAGAAAAGGCACAAGGCACTAATTAAGCCCAGTGTTTAATTCTGCCAAAACCAGGGGTGGATTGCAGGATCCCTGTGCTGGAGATCAGCTGCATACAACAGGAATGCTCCACCAACACAGAGCATGAGGAGGCTCTGACACTCCTCCACTAACAGGTGTAGCTGCAGCACAAGCTGCTTCCTTATCCCAAAATAAAAAAAGTTCAGGATGAAGGTCAAACAAGAAAGCAGCAAAACAGGACCCAGTCAATAAAGCAGCAAACCTGAAGCCAGTGCTGCCTCCCCCTTCCCTCTCCAGCTTCCTGCCTGTCCCCGGCTGGCCTCGGAGGGAGCTCCCTGTGAGGTGTGGCAGCTGGGAGGACCAGCAGGGACACACCTAATCCAGAGGAGAGGCAGGAATTGCTGCAGGGAATGGTCCCACCCCATTAATGAGGGGAGTTTGAGCCCTGAGAGCTGGGAGTGCAGACAAGAGCAGCCTTACTGGTGGCCCCCAGGCGCCGCGTGTCCCGGGCGATGTAGTTGGCAAAGATAATAGATCTCATGCTGGTCTTCCCAGACCCACTTTTACCCATCAGCAGCACCTGGGAAGGAAAAAAAACCCGGGAAGAATTAGGTATGAAACAGCACTAAGGCCTTCCCAGCCCCCTCTGGTTGCCATCTCACTGCCAAAGCCACAGAAACACAGCACTGACATGTTTCAGCTGGGACTGCACAGGAGAGAGAGGCAAAGAGGAGCACCAGGCCTGGGAAGCAGGACATGGACATCCTTAACTCCTTGCTATCCATGGGCACTGGACTGTGGTCAGACTGAACACCTCCCAACACAGCACCTGGGAAGAGCAGGAGCTGCCTCCCCCTTTCCAGGCCCCTCACCACAGGAAGAGCCCTGATGGCTTTCATGGCAGCAAACGACTTTGCCAGGACAGAGGAACAGCTTTGTCTCAAGCTGTTAAGACCAGACTGGAAACAATCCCTCCCCCCCTTTCCTAATCACAGGATGGTTTGGGTTGGAAGAGACATTAAAGATCATCTGATCCTGTTGTTCTCCTTCTCATAATGTGACTTGTTTTCTCTTCCCCAACAGAAGTGACAATTCAAGTTTCGGGGGTTAGAAGACCAGAAAAAAGAAGTTAAAAGCAGGTGGGACAGCCCAGGTCAAGTGCACCAGTGTATGGGGGACACTTGACTCCAGAGTCTTGTCTGCAGGACATCAGGCCAAAGGAGAGGTACCAAAAAGTAGGGGATGCTGGGGCTTGGGGAGTGGGGATGAGGGGAGACAGTCCCACAGGAGACAGTTCCACAAGGCAAGACTTGACATTGTGATCTAAAAATAAAAATAAAAAAGAAACACAAACCAACCATGGCAGCCAACACAAAACCCAGCTGTTAAACAAGTTCCAGTCACAGAACCGAGTCCAGCCTTTGGCAACAGCTCTGGAAGTCTCCCGTCAAGGAGAGGTTTAAGGAGAGCAGGGGCAATTTAAGGAGTGCAGGACACTGGCCAGGAGGGCACTTGCTCCACTCCCACCCTCTCTCTGTGACAGTACAGCAGGAGCTGCCACAATTTCATGGGAAAACCTCAGCAGAATCCCACCTCTCTGCTCACTCCAGTCATTCCTGCAGCTCCTCAGAGGCTGAGAGAGCCCTGGTCAGAGGAACCTGAGCACAGGCCTCCAGGATTTGGGAACGAGGCCTGTCCCTGAGTGAGGGAGGCTGGTCAGGCCAGCCCAGAAGGCTGTGCTGTCCCCTGAGCTCATCCCAGGGAACACAGCACAGCACAGCTCTTATTTCACAGCACCAGCACAAACGCCACAGCCAGGAACTCCATCCAGATCACAGGGAAACCCAAATCCCAAGTTTTGGGCTGCAGAGGCCTTGCAAAGGGATCAACCAGCAGGCAGGAAACCCAATCCTAGCACACCATGGAAAACCAGCCACATATTCCCTACACAGCCCCTTTAACAGCTTTGGATGTGCTTCTGCTGGAATACACCCACCCCTTCAATTCCCAGAGGAGCTTCTCCTTCCCCAAGGGTTAAATTCCATCCTCCCAGGAGCCCTGAGTGAATTATGGGCTCCCCACTGAGCTCCTGGACACCTTGGAAGGCTCTCCCCTTGGAAGGGCCAAGGAAGTGGTTTGGAGCAGATCCTCTTCCCCCACGCTGAGCATGGGGGTTTGCAGAGGGTTTTGCAACACATCCCAGTTGCCCACAGTTCTGGTGGATGGCCCTGCAATCAGCCAGGAATAAACCCAATTTTAATGTCTGGCTCTTGATGCAGCCGCTGATTCCAAGAGCCTTCCAAGGCACCTGAGCCCCAGAGGGACCGACACAACAAACAACGACATTCCCAAATGGGGATGGGGAAGGAAAACCCAACAGCACAGGATCCCCCTCCCAGTCCTTACCTTCTTCTTCATGGCTGTGCTGGGCATCACACACCTGCCGAGAGAAGCCCACCTTGGATCGCTGCTTTCCTTGGATCACCGCTCGCCCATCCCGATCCCACCCCCCGCAGCGCGGGGGAAGCGCTGGCACAGCCCCCCCTCCCCTGCCATGGGGAACTCCCATGCTGGGAAACCTCCGGCACTCCCGGGATCCCACGGCCCGGGCGGGAGGGGCCGGGACCCCCCGCAGCCTCTTCCCCGGGATGAGCCGGGATGTCCCTGCCCTAGGGATGTTCCGCAGCCCCTTCCCCGGGGATGCCCCTTCCCTCGGGACGTTCCAAAGCCCCTTCCCCTGGGATGGCCCCAGAGCCCCTTCCCCAGGATGTCCCACAGCCCCTTCCCCTGGGATGGCCCCAGAGCCCCTTCCCCAGGATGTCCCACAGCCCATTCCACTGGGATGGCCCCAGAGCCCCTTCCCCCGGGATGCCCCTTCCCCCGGGATGCCCCTTTCCCCGGTTCCCCCTTCCCCATCCCCAACCCGCCCCGAGGCCCTCGCCCCCATCCCCGCGGGGCCCCGCAGCGGCCTGGCCGCCGGGGCCGGGCCGTGCCCGCCGGTACCTGCGGCGGCGCTGGGCGGCTCGGGGGGGCTGTGCCGGGGCGGCCCCCGGTGCCTGCGGCGGGTCGGGGCCGGCCGGGGGCGGTGCCGCTGTGGCCGCCGGTGAGTCGGGCGGCGGTGGCGCGGGGGGCGGGCCGGGAGTGTGTCCCAGTTTATCCGGGCGGTGTGTCCCGGTGTGTCCCGCCGTGTCCCGGTTCCCCCCCACCGCCGCTCACGGGACCCAGCGCTGTGGGGCGGCCGCCGCCGGTCACGTGAGCGCGCGCGCGCGCGCGCCCCGCCCGCCACGCGCGCGCCCCCACCATCCCGTCAGGAAGCCCCGGCCGCCATGTTAAGTGAGGGCAGCCCTTCGCTGGCAAAGAGTGGGGTGGGGTATGTGGCGAGGGCGTCCTGGTGATTCCCGGCCATTCCCGGTGGTCCCGAGGGCACGCGGGGGGCGGCAGAGCGGGGCCCGCCGGAGCAGCACCGCTCGGTGCGGCAGCGGGGCCAGGCAGTGGCACTTTGGGCCGCGCGGGAAGAGCACTTTCCAGCGCCTCCCATATGGTCTAGCGGTTAGGATTCCTGGTTTTCACCCAGGCGGCCCGGGTTCGACTCCCGGTATGGGAAGCTTCACCTTTTCCTGCCGGGAAGGGGGAACTGTCGCCCCTGTCTCGCCGCTTTCCTCAGATTTCTCTCGCAAAACTCTTTCGGGCTTCATTTTCGCACCTCTGCGGCAAAATTTCTCGACCCGAAGCCGTAGGAAGCGCTTTGCTGCTGCAAACGCTGCCGCCCCCCTGTTGAAAACCTTCGAGTGCACTGGACCGCACAGCCCCTCGCTAATTAACATACCGCTAATTGCCCTTTTAGCTAAGGCAAGCAAGAAAATTCCTGCTTGTGTCCCACAGAGTGTTTTAAAACCCAAGGCAAATACCATTGTACTGCAACTCCAGCAGCAGAAATCTGCTGGAGATATACATCTATAGAAATATATACGTATATATATATATATATATAGAAATGTAATGTATAGAAATATATTACATATATTATACATAGAAATTTATTCTATTATATTACAGTAATATATATAATATATATATTACATATACATAGAAATATATTTTATATGTATATATATAAATTGGGGGGTCTCATTGCTGAAAGAAAATCTCGGAGCAAAGCCAGGTGTGTCCAATGCCTTTGTCACGAGGTGTCCATGCTCTGGCAGAAGGAACATGGGTGGCAGCAGATCCCACCAGGCTCCTCCACCAAAGCCCACCTGGGTTCCCACGGAGAGGGCAGGGCAGCCCCCATCCATGGGGAGAAGTTGGGGTCTTCCTGGGAGCTCCCTCAAAGCTGGGGGACTCGGAGGGGACATCCCCACCGGCTGCCGTGGCCTCCTGGGTGCCAGAGATCCGGAGGTCAGTGGGGCTTCGGGAGACGCCGAGGTGGTGCTGCCACAAAGTCGGAGCCTTGTCACCTTGTGTGTCCCCTCTCAGGCCTTGTCACATTGTGTGCCCCTCTCACGGCCTTGGCACCCCATGTACCCCCTCTCAGAGCCTTGTCACCCCATGTACCCCCACTCAGAGCCTTGGCACCTTGTGTGTCCCCTCTCAGAGCCTTGTCACACTGTGTGCCCCTCTCACGGCCTTGTCACCCCATGTGTCCCCTCTCAGAGCCTTGGCACCTTGTGTGTCCCCTCTCAGAGCCTTGGCACCTTGTGTATCCCCTCTCAGAGCCTTGGCACCTCCCTTATTCTCCCCTTAGTGCCTTGTCACCTCATGTGTCCCCTCTCACTGCCTTGACACCTCCTGTGTCCCCTTTAGAGCCCGGTCACCTCATGTACCCCCCTTTCAGAGCTCTGGCACCTCATTTATCCCCCCCAAGAACCTCCTCACCTCATTTATCCCCCCTCAGAGCCTTAGCACCTTCTGCACCCCCTTTCAGCACCCTGGCACCTCATGGATCCCCCCTTCCAGAGCACCTGGCACATTTTGGCTCTGAGGCAATCCCTGCCTGGCAAGGTTTTGGGACATGGCCCCTCAGAGCTGCCTCTCCTGCCCAGGAAAGCCCTGCCCAGCTCTGCTCTCTGCCAGGGGGCCCCCAGGCAGGTTTTAGGGGGTCCATAGACAGGACAACGTGTTCCTCGGGGGGCTGTGGGGTCCAGGGAAGCTGGGCTTGTCCTGGGTGGATGGTGGGGCTTGGCAGGAGACCCCTCAGCTTCTCTCAGCCTCTTCCAGCCAGGAATCCCCATGGAAACAGAGTCTCTGTGTCCCCTCTTGAGGAAAACTCCTGCTGGTGTTTTTTGAGGTTACTTAAATGACTTCCAAGACCCACCCAGGGCTATAAATACCTGATGGAGTTCCAACTTCAATAAGAAGCTCTAAACAGCCCTAAAAACAGAGGCCAGATGTCTAAATTATAAAGAACTAAGGACTTCAGGCACCACCAAGGGCATTTCGTTCCTTTGAACCCCAGAATGAAGATATTTCTGCTAAAATCTCAACCTGCATCTTAAGAGAAAGGAATTATTTCGGCCCACCAGGACACAGAGAGTATCAGGAATATTCAGTGCAGGGTCTCCCAGGAGGCCCTTCCTCCCCCTCCTGCTCCCACAGATCTGGGACACTCCGGCTATTGCCTGCTCTGATTCCTCCTTGTGACATCCACAGCCTTGGGAGTTCATGGAGGTGTTCTGAGAGCAGATCCATGAGTGAAGGAAACCATTCCAAAGGGCTGGAGAGAGGAATGTGCAGCTCCAAAATGCATAAGGGTGAAGAGATGAACGACAGAGCTGACTGACAGGTATCCTTAGGGATAGAGCAGCCAGTTCCAGCTGGATGGGCTCTGAGGGAATTCCCAGATTCCCAGTTGGGAAGGGAAACTCATTGCTTCCAAATCAGTGAACGAGGCACAAAACATTCCCTTTGGAGCCAAGGAGGTTTGTACATCCACGCAAGGGAATTTCAGCCAGGGAAGTTTCTTGGATGCTGGATAAAAAAATATCCACACAGCAGAGGAAAATGTGTCCCAAGGGGGTCAACAGCAGCTGAAAAGGAGTTTTAGGACACACAACCCCCACATTCCATGTGCTTCCCACAGAACTGCTGGGGTTGGGAGGGACTTGGAGGTGTCCAGTCCAACCCCTGCTCACAAGAGCAGGTGTCCAGGGCTGTGTCCAGAGAATCTCCAAGGAAAATGGGTGGGAATGGCAGTGACTGCCCAGAGGATTTCACGCTTTTAGGCTTTTTTAAGTCTTTTTCCCCCCATTACTTAAAGCTTTTAAGAACCAACACAGCCAAAATTGGTTTTAGGTCTCTCTTTGAAGACTGGGAAAGATGTGAGGAAAGCATCCTCCCTGTTCCTTTTTATATTTGCTTTTAAAAAGTATTTTATATTTGCATTTCAAACATCAGGACAACACCCCTGTTAGAGGCATTTCACCTCTTCATTCCTCCATCTGAACCCTTAGAGGTTCCAATTAAGCAGAAAAAAACCTAAAAGTGTGATTAGCTGTGAAGGGGGAGCAGAATAAAATGGTTTTTCCTCTCCCACCCCCCTTCCTTCTGTACCTCTCCCTTTAAATGTGTCCTTTAAAGCACACTTTCAAAGAGAATTGTACAAAGTCAGAACATTCTGATAAAATCCCTTTAATTCTCTGATATTTTTGTAGGAGAGAAGCTCGTCTTCAATTTTGACACTAAGTTTATAATTTATCTGCACAAGGACAACATTCACTTGCTGCCAACACCTGCTCTGAGCTTGTTCATCAAGGGCCTCCTGCACAGATTCTGGTAATTGCACGTTTAAATTGTTGATGTTTGAAGCTTTATTGGCCAAACTTCCACTGGAACAATCCCAAAGGCTCCAAAAACTGCAGCTCAGGGACTGTACAGGAATAACAACACACTCCACGAGACAAACTTCAACCACTGAACTTCTCTGCACCTCCAACTCTCGCTTTTAGGATTGTGACAGACAATAAATAGCTAGAAAATGTGTAGCTACACTATTTCCTTGCCAGGCTGCCCTGGATTTTGTGTTTAGCAGTGAGGGGGGTTTGCACAGAGACATGAAGGCACCAGCACTCCGATCATCTTTTGCAGCAGTACAGGAAACAAGCCTGGAAGCCTCAGTTCCTAAAATATCCAGGTTTTTCTGGACTAAAATAGCCTCATCGCCCAGGTAGTGTTTAATTGGCTTCATTACTGCAGCCTGAGATGAATCAGTGACCCCACAGGATTGTCACTGTGAGCAGCTCCCACTTTCCTCACACTGAGAAGAAAAAAAAAAACACCCCCCCCCAAAAAAAAAAAAGCTGCCAAAACTTTAAGACAAAACATTTTGTGTAAAATGTGTAAAAAAGAAGTTCACTGTGCTCTGATAAAACCTGTACCAAGGGCTCCAACAAGTGCCAAGACACTTTGTTCCCAGGGTCTGACTGTGGGGCTGCAGGATTTTCTGAACACACAGAACATTTTAATCTGCTTTAGCTGCTTTTATGGAAAAGAGAGACACAAAATGAGGTAACAACCCCCCTCCCTTCTCCTCCTGCCCCCAAACCTGACTGAAGGGCAGCAATAACTGTTGTTTAAAGAACAGAAAAACAAGGGCATTGTGTGAAAGCACTTGAAGAGACAAAATGTGTGGGTTGTAAAATCCTCCAGAGCAGGTGAGGTGGTGAGCTCTTTGTGCCAGTGCTGCCTGGGGGGAATTAGCACAGAATCATTAATCACAGAATCATGGAATGTTTGGGTTGGAAGGGACCTTAAGGATCATCTCATTCCACCCCCTGCCATGGCAAGGACACCTTCCACTATCCCTGTCCAACCTGGCCTTGGACACTTCCAGGGATGGGGCAGCCACAGCATCTTCTTGTCTGTAATCACCCAAAATGATCCAGCAGGGAAAAAAAGAGGGAAGCTCAGAGGTGTTGGGACAGGAGGGAGCCTTGTCAGGTGGATTCTCCACATGGATATTCCCGTTCTAGTCCTGGAAAGCCTTTGCTGGCCCCAGCTGTGATCACCCTTTGTTTGCTGCAGCATTCCTTTCTTACCTCCTGCTTTGAAAAGCAGAGAATCCTCTCCA